TTTCGACAACTTTTTTTCGACCACGCGTCGTTTTTCTTACAGGATCAACAATCGAATGAACTCGTAGCCATCTTTAAAAGGCAGCTGGCACGATGGGGGGGGGGTGGTTACCGCCAACGTCATTCGTGGAAGGGCTGAATGGGAGTGGTCAAACGCCCTCTCAAAGCCCTTCCTCGAATGACCGCCCCGAGCTATCGTATTCATTGTCTTGAAGCTGCACTACGAAATGTTGCAGAAATTATATATCAGTACACGATCATGCACTGAGATATGGACGAGATGTCCAGATGCTGTTTGCCTTCTATCATCGTAGCATTGCTTATTCCGCGTATTATTTTCGCGGCTTACCTTCACAATCTGTGGCTTTCGAAAAAAAAACCGTGCTTTCCCTACCGTAGGTCATTATTATAACTTACACTGAATGGGCCATAGATGGTTCAAATGCTGCTTGAGACAGGGGTGGGATCCACTTGAATAATCAGGCAAACACTTCTCGTCACAAAGATCGAAATTTTGTACGAACCAGCTCGGACAGAGATTTAATCTCGTTCACGAAACTACGTGTTTTCATCTTAGCTATAATAGCGAATAGACACCTCTCTTACGGGAATACATCGAACAATTGGGTTTGGAAGAAGTTTAGAAGATTGACGATCGACAATTCGCTCACATCTGGGTCAAGTGTTTTCAAAATAGTTCCCACGCGAGCAACACTGCCCTTTTTGGAAGAAAATAAAACGCGTTTCTGTGCCACTCGTTACCGCGCAATCTGTAGCAGCGCCCACGACCCAAGAAATGGATTTTGGCCACGCCCCCTCCGATTTTTTAGGCCACACTTCTGGCCTTCGGCTTTTTCGCAAAGGATTCAACAGGCGAAATGGATACGTACCTCATTCAAACATGGCGATGATGGGTTTTTGTGGGATATTTCAATTGGAGGCAACAATCAACTCTTCTTTTGTTTCAGTACTAACAACTTACCATCAAACTTTGATTGGAGACCTGGGTAGATCGATAGAGTCTATAAGGTTATTTACAAATATAGATAGCAAAACTGCAACCTGCATTTCACAAGCAACTTATGAGCAGGTAAAGTTTGTAATGGTGCAGTAGGGTGGAGGCTTGGTGGTGAGCTGTGAAGCATAAGCGAGGAATCGCATACGTCGAATCGAGTCGTCGAACGTCGAACCTTACCACTGAACCACCACGACTCGATTCGACGTATGCGATTCCTCGCTTATGCTTCACAGCTCACCACCAAGCCTCCACCTGCACCATTACAAACTTTACCTGCTCATAAGTTGCTTGTGAAATGCAGGTTGCAGTTTTGCTATCTATATTTGTAAATAACCTTATACTCTATCGATCTACCCAGGTCTCCATTCAAAGTTCCATGGTAAGTTGGCGGACTTCCTGGTGAGACACGATTACAATGGTCCCAAAATGAAAATATTCCACCAAAAGCTTAGCCGCCACGATTGCATAAAGTACGCAGCTGCGCCTAGCGCGTCTTGGGGATTTTTAATCTAACAGCTATATGTGATGATTGAGCGTGTCTCTTACTACCTTCGTTCGATAGTCTTGGGGGGGGGGGGCGTATTTTGAAGAAATTTTCCTATCCACATGATCTGCCCTGGTTTTTATATTTAACAATAAGACAATTATTTTTGGTTCTTTCAAACTACAATAACCACTCGATTTCCATCCCTTTTTTCCTTCAGAGGCGAACTCATCGAACATTAGCCAGCTAAGAAACCTTATAATCCCGAAAGCAGTTTGCAAAGCAGCAATATGTATATCACGAGATTGCTGAGTTACGGGTAGACGTTCGTTGAACCCGCATCTCATGCTCACCGGGGCAGGTCCACCGTAACGGGGAGCGCACTCAGCTGGTGAGTGTGAGGTGCAGGTCCGACCCCTGCCTGACATCACGAGTTTTGCCCATAGCTCAGGACCCTTGTGATAAATTGCTGAGCGCGAACTGTGGCCTGAACAAGCAAAGTTATAGTAGTGGAACTATTTCAACAAGCTGCATAGTGTAACAATCACCTCACACGAGATAAAACCTGCCCGCAATGTTATGTTTACACCAGTTTCTTCTGATTTGCTAGAACGAAAAGAATAAAAACAAGGTGGTAGCTGTTACCAACAGCTGACATCTTACTCAATCACTCAGTTCTTTCAAATTTGGACTGATCCGTCATTAGATTTAACCTCATCCACGGGAGATGCAGAAGAATGTACACTCACGTATTCCTGTCAGATGGGATGGCGGGGCCGGCACTTCCTAGCACATGACTGGCGGGATGGTTTTTCGTAGGATATGGCCAGCTGATACAACTGTCATCTCGTTGTGATGTTGCGCAAAAACATGGTAACAACTGATTCAAAACTTCAGTATCTTGCAAAAGGTGGTTGTTACCACGTTCGACCCATGTACGCAAGGGTGGCCAAATGCATTTCGTGGAAAGGGTTCGTTCGGGGCTAAAGTAATGTTTTCTTGGTTGGCTAACGTTCCAGTGGTTCCACCGTTCTGTTACTAGGGTGATGGAAATCGACGCGTTGGTTTTGATGCCACAATCAGCACGCTCTTACACCTCAGGATTATGGAGGAGGTATATGATCCGTATCATTGAATGATTGATAGCTCTGATTACGGCCTACCACTACGTCTGAGCAATTTGCAAACCGCTGTTACAAGGCCAGCCAGCTGTCACTTTCGATTACCTTATCACCACCGATCAGCCCCCATGTGACATCGCATATTATCGCTTACATCAAACACAAAGTACACCATTTGATGGTGATAAACGCTCGAAAAAAGCCGAATATCAAAGAGTTAATCGATAAAACAAATGAAAGAGGAACTAACCGCGCCATGTTTCGTGAATCCTTGATGGACACAGATGCGATCTTCCATGGTAGTCCGATCGCCACGATCACAGCTGGCAGAAATTGTGTACGAATACGAAGGCGATGAGCTCAGTGTCACTTCCACATCCATTTATTAATCTGCTGTACAGCTAACAAGTACAAACGATAACAATAGATTTATCTCTAAGCTAATCAACAACAAAAACCCAACCATTCAATTGTAACGAAACGGAAATCACACGCAATGAGGAGATATATATGATGCAACTTATAGAGTGAGATTTCGATGAAAAAGAACGGCGAGCAATCAGCAAGGTGCACGTGTGACCAGCAAGCGATCACATGAGGGGCGTACGGCGATCGAAACGGTCGACGGCACCGCTCTGCTACGTGAACGCTGCGACAGACGCTACTCTAAGCGCTTTTCCCGTTTCGGGAATATAATAGATGGGAGGAAGGATCACATTCGGGGAACTTCACGAATTCCAAGAATCTTGAAGCAGTTGCTCATCACGTTTGCCGTCACTTCGCAGAGCACCAGACGATTGAAGTGCACCACGGTCTCACCTGCAGACATGAAAATCAATCAGATGCTGAAAACCTACCCAAGATCAAATATCTCACACAGCCTCACATATTAAGAAAGTCATTGAAAGGGAGTTTGAAAAAGCCCTACCTACTACATAGGTGGGCATTATGGTGTAAATCACCCTCAAAAGGCCACAAGAATTTTCTTAGAGAGATGGTCCGGGTCGGGTAAAGCTGGTTGCTCAAAGGCACGTCAGGTTCCGATGTTGACTAAGGCTACGATCCATCGAATGGGTCAGAGATTCGCTAAG